CCCCCCCCCCAAAAAAAAAAATACATTTAAAAATTGGATACATTAGTAACAAAGTTGAAGGTGATAAATCTGCAATATTAGATATGGTATGGTGAAAACTGTTAATGTTAATATGTTAATAGTATCATGAGTGTAAGAAGAAAAGATTAAGGCAGGATACCCTGTGCCTTACCCCCATCAGGGTAAAAGTTTACTTAAGTTTAAACTCAAGTATAGAAAAGAAACTAATATAAAAGTAAGGATGGTAAAGGGTGTTGGATGATAATGAATAGGAACATCTTCACAACTGATTGCCTGTGATGGAATAACAGTAGAGGAGTTTCATGATTATAAACGTCTAAAGCCGTATGGTACAGATTTGTTTGATTTTAATACAAATTTACTTAAATATTTAATTTCAAGACTTTTTCTGAGGAAGAGGTTAAAACCCAGATCAAGTATCTGAAGAATAATAATATGAGTGCAAGTCCTGCAGAGCTGATTTCATTGGTTACCAAATTATTTAACTTGGTGGTGATGAAAAGGTTTATACCAACAAATCAGACGGTATGAACTGTGGAACCCAGTTATAGTTGTTCAGATCAGGTCATCTTACCAGTATTGCTGTATGGCTCAGTGGTATGAGGTCATGAAGAAATGTCTCTCTTTTTTAAGCTTTTCATGTTGCATTTATCAACACACTACTTAAGTTAAACAGAAATGTATTCGTTTTTGGTTTTTCTTATGTTTCGTTTTCTAGAGAATCGATATGATAAAAGTGGATAGCAACCCTAATATGTGATTACACTGTATTTTCTCTTTTACAGGGACATATCACTAAGGTTAGGAATTGATAAGAATTTAGTGATTCCGATTCCATTAGAAATGACACTTATCGATTGGGTTCCCTATTGATTCTAATTGGGTTTGTCAGCACCATCTCTAAGTAGCATATCAAAGACATTGCATGCTGAGTGCTCAAATGTTTGTAAATGTCAGATGATGTGATCAGTGTTCGGGTCATTACTCAATTGAAAGTAAAGTAAAAAAGTTCTTACACATATCACATGGAACACTTTTCTTAAAAGTAATGCAGTACGTTACTTAATGGCACCCAGAAGAAAGACATTTGTTATAATACTAGTTAAGTTACTTTCGTGGGGCGATCGTGGCTCAAGAGTTGGGAGTTCGCCTTGCATTAACTCAGCCAGTTAATGCAAGAGAAGTCTAGCTGCTCATTAAAGCTTTCTGGTTTGATCAGAAAATAAAACATTGGTCCAAACACCTGAAAGTCCCAAAAATGCATTGTGTCTCGAGTCTATGGATGTATCTGTGTATTTCTTCCTTCTTTTATAACTGCCCTTCAACTCATCCATGTCACCTAAAAGGTAAACCTGTTTCTCCATCACCTGTTCAGCTCTGATGATCCAGTAAGGACATCTCCTGGTTTCATCTTCATGTTTCCCTCTCACCACATATCCAAACCATATCATGACCAGCAGCTTTACAGCTGTGGCTCCAGCAAACATCAGCTGATACTAGAAATTAATATTAAATCAATTCTAACAACAGCTGATCAAGCTTAAACGTGCTGCTGTTGTTTAGCGCGACATCCGCTGGTTTCCTGTTTCTGGTGCAAAGTGGGCGATAAACAAACAAGAGAGCCGATCAGCTGATCATTGATCAGTTTCATGATTGAAGTAGAAACAGGAGAGGGAGGGGGGAGAATGAGAGAAGAAGAGGCAGCTCTGCAGCGTAACGACAGAATGAATCCAACTTTGTGTCTTTTTCCATCCTAGACAAACTGCGTCCCTTCTCAGCTCAACACGAAACGCGTAATATTTTCTCTGAATGAGGGACAATTCCGTCTTTTTACAGCACGGTTGGCAACTCTAATAACTAACCTTATGAATAAAATAAAGTTCACAATCAGTAACATCATAGCACCCACCCAGCTGTATAGAAACTCCATCATGCTAGCTAGTACCCAGTACCAGTGATTGTAACTGATTGTAAAAAGTCAGCATAACGAAAATAAACTCCACCTAAACTTGGTTTATATCTGACCCAGAGAGACTGCAGGTCAGAACTTCTTACCTGAAGTTCAGTTCACCTGACACTCGGACCGGCGGCCGCCTCGGGTCTCTTTTCCTTCTGCCTCCCCTTTCCTTCATCCACCTGCTGGCCTCCACCACTTGCTAATGTTACTGAATCTGTGGAAGCTCCGCGATGCCACCACCAAACAACTGAGTTATTTTACACACCAGCCAGCATCTGGCCAATCCACCACCTTTCATTGTTCATGCTGTTACAAAAAAAAAAAAATCATCGGCCCATAAAAACGGAAAATCACCATCGGCCCACCGAGCAAATGCCCGGTATGCCCGATGGCCAGTCCAGGTAGTGCTGAGGAAGGTCTCCCTGCAGGATTGCTTTTCCCTGCGTCGGGAGCAGCGCTGGGCTGTTTAAATCACGGACAAACAGGATCCCACAGCTGTTTATGTTTTTGAACCCATTTTGCACAGAAAGACATTTTTTGAAAAATGTATTGATGCAATGTTGAATATTATTACACAGGAAAAAACAACTACATGTAAAATAATCACACCGTGACGCCTCTGCCTTTGTAAATGGATGGACAGTTACTGCCTGTGTGTATGTAAGCGTGTAAAACTTGCAGATAGTCAGATTAACAGTATTTTGTCTATCTGCCATTCTGTCGAACATTTTTGTTGTAAAACAAAGGGGGGTCTAGCAAAAAAAGTTTGGGAACCACTGCACTGGCTCATGTACCTGAAGCTGAAAGCATTGGCAATACATAATATACAAGCCAATCCCCCATAACAAGTCTTGTCTAAACGAGTTGTTGATGTGTACAAGAATTATTGACTTTCATGTCTGTAACAAATGCAGAAACCCTGTTCTTGTCTTAAATACTGTATTTTCATTAATGTTTAAAATGTTCCAGTTTTCTCAGCAAAATATGAAGAAATGAGGGGTGGCTCTAGACTAGAGTCCAAATATGTAAAAATTCAGTAATCACTGATTCAGAAGAAACTACATTTCTATATTGCAATGTGACATTTCTGCACTGCTACACACATAGGGTTTTCCTGTGACAGTTAACAAAAATGTTTGGTTCTTTTCTCCAGCAACTGTTTCGTGACCATGTTAAAGCAATCGCGACACAGCTTGGATGGGAGGATGAAGGAACACAGACAGAGAGGTACAACATTAATAGTTCTGTCAAACAGTATTAGCCCCTTCCTCATTCTTTTTCTTTTTTTGCATTTTTCTTACACTTAAATATTTTAGATCGTTAATTAAACTTTAATGTTTAACAATGTAGGTAAATATGCACTGAATACCAGGTAAATACAACATGATGAATGTGAAAAGGCTATACAAACCCACCAGGCCCTGTGTGAAAAAGTAAGCCCCCAAAACCTAATAACTAGTGTTACGACCCTCCCACACTCACGGTCTGCTGTTTGACTGGCATGGGAGGATCGTCAGCTAATGCAGGTCACCTGTGTCTTGCACAGTTTTGGGAAGGTTACTTTTAAAATGTATTCCACTACAGATTACAGAATACATGCCCCAAAATGTATTTTGTAACGTAACTATTGCTGTGTGATTTATTACTATAAATGTAGACCTTAAAATACTTTGCAATGTCCTTGCCAGAAGATTAGAAAAAAATCACTCATTCATAATTAATTCTGACCAGACAGGTTTAATCAAGGGTAGACACTCAGCAAATAATAAATGTAAACTAATAGATTATTGCTCTATCACCAAATTAGAAACCACAGTTGTCTCCATAGATGTGGAGAAAGCGTTTGATCGAGTAAACTGGGAATTTTTACTAGCATTTCTAAGCTGGATATATTTTATTCTTCACAGACTCGATTAAAAGACTTTATAGCATTATTATTTTTATTGAGCCATTAGCAGCAGCAAACTGAAAATACACACCATAAGACAAGCCTATATGCTGATGATGTGTTGCTTTTCCTCAGGAACTCACAAACCTCGCTTGTACAGACGATCACACTTATAAGTTATCATCCATATCAAACTACTCCATCGCAGAAGTAAATCAACAGGTCTGCAACAGAACTGTAATTTTCAAAACACCACCAGCACTCCCCTACAGTCAGGTAGCATTAGATATCTAGGTGTACATTTTTCTGCCAAGCTCTCAGACCTGGTAAGGTTGACTCATATTCCTTTATTAAAAACAGATCTCACACGTTGGACAACTTAACCCATATCACTCATGAGAAGAGCTGCCACCATTAAAATGATGATTCTACCGAAAAGAAACTACTTATTTTCACTGATCCCTAATAAACCTTCTCACACTTGGTTTAGATCAGATGCACAGACGACTGTACGCCACATGGTTGAGAGTGGCCGGCTGGGGTTCAAGTCTGGCCCTTTACTGCATGTTTCCCCCTCTTGCTTTCCTATCAGTCTTAACTGCATCTATCTAATAAAGCTGAAAAAAGGCCAACAAATATATTTATATTTAGATCACTAGATTCCAACATTTGAATTTTTTATGGAAAAATCAACCATAACAGATGAGTGTAAAAACTTGTAAAAATCAAAACACAATGATGGTCTAAGAACTGCCAGGTTTCTATCACTGCTTCTTCTCCAATAGGTTGCTATATGTTTCAGAATGAATTAAACCAAGCTTATTAGAGGGGCCTTGGCTGGACCTAGAACATGTATTTTGTGGAAAAGTAAAAATCTCTAAGGTGACTTTCATCAGCTCCAGTGTTAAGCGTCATGACTGCTTTAAAAACCTCAACATAAACACTTCTCTGACAGTCAAAAATGAAATTGATATTGAAATTACCTGCCACTTAAAAAACACAACTCCCTTCATGCTCACTCCTCTTCTGTAGCGGTAGATAGATTCTGAAGTACTGCGAACACAACTTATGGACACGCCCACTTTAAGCCTTGAGTATAAACCCTATAAACGATACGGTTGACCCTAAAGAGTCTGTTTTGAAAATATTAGGAGTAAAAAGTAAAAACGTGTCAGAAAAAGAAATACTCAAGTACAGATATCTGAAAATTCTACTTAAGTAGAGTAACAAAGTATTGTTACTTTGTTACTTCCCACCTATGCTAATAACATATGCATGATGCTGTCCATAAAAGTAATGAAAAGCGAGGTATTGCACAAGTGGTGCTGTATTGGTTTTGAAAATTGACAGTGCAAATAAGTAACTAAGTCCTTGGCGAGTTGTGTTCAGACATTTACAGAAGTGTTCAGGCACAGATGAGTCTTATCTCATGTTGGAACAGGGTCAGGGTTCTGAGGCTATTCAATGATGTTATATTTTGCAGGTTACTAAGGGAGACAGTGCTTGGCATCGCTTGTCAGATGGGAGATCAGGATGCTCTGAACGAAGCTTCTCGGATTTTTGACCAGTGGATCAGTGGAAGTCTTAGGCAAGTTCTCCAGTGTTCTAACTAACAGACAGAAAATATATTATTCAAAAGTTATATATTTTCTATTCTCATTATTATTTTAACACAGCAATTAATTGGTTGACACCAATGAACAGGATGGTTGGTGTCAATTTAACTTCAAATCTATTTCTGGTTTACTGTTTATGCAAACAGTTTAGTTACAGACTGCGGTCTCAGGACATTCACCGTTCCATCAGTTTGTAGAGAGCGTGGGAAGAAGGCACTCTGCTTTTCTGCCCCGTCTTCATGGAATACATTGCAGAAAAATTTGAAGCTCTCTCACTTGATTTCACTTGCAGACCTCAAAAGACGTACAAATATTTTTGTGAAATCATCTCTGGGAACTTGTTCTTGTTTTTAATATGACTGTGTACATAAGACAACTGTAGCTATTTTGGTTTTTTTATTGTTGTAATTTTAATATGTTTGTCTGGAACAGGTCTCTCTTGGCTCTCAATGCGACTACCTGTATAAATAAAGGTTAAATTGAAAAACAAACAACAATAATTTAACTTATTTCACTGCACCATGTAATTATCTTTTGATCTACAGCAGCGTAGCAGTCAACCTGAGATTGCTGGTATATCAATACGGCATGAAGAATTCAGGCAGTGAAGAAAAGTGGAACATAATGTTCCAGAGGTATAAAGAGACGTCTTTGGCCCAAGAGAAGGACAAGCTGCTGTATGGACTGGCATCTGTGGAAAATGTGGAGCTTCTTTATAGGTAATAACACTGTCTAATTTATTTTGACCGGTTCACTTATCATGTCTTCTACAGTTTCATTACGTGACATTTAGCTAACCCGTATTTCATTAGGTCTGTGCCTGTAATTCAGACTCACTGAAAATAGGTTTCTGTAGACTGCTGTCCTAAGTGAACTATAAGAATTAATAACAGTGCAAGTAATTTTCTGGTTTTGGCACAGGCTTTTTTGCCTTTAAACTTAGGCTTAAGCAACTAAGATAAACTTTCCCCTTTTTGAGGAAGAATACATTTTCTTGTCTAACAGGCTCCTGGAGGCTACAAAAGATGAGAGCGTAGTGAGGAGTCAGGATTTGTTTACTTTGGTCCAATACGTATCCTATAACCCACTTGGCCAAAGCATGGCCTGGGAGTGGAGTACACTCAACTGGGACTATCTGGTAAACAGGTCAGTACAATAAGCCAGCACACAAAGTAAGCACACATACCATGATCATAACTTTGGATGGTAGATTCATTTGTTTATTCATGTTTGACCACGTTGAAACAGTAGGGCTGGTAAATGGTCAGACTGGTCTAGTTCTATTGTTCTGTTATAACATTAAGAGAGTTAAGTGTGTTTTGAATTAAATACTAATTAGTAGGGGTTAAAACAGGAACCTTCTTGCTGTGAAGCAACAGTGTTAATCACTACACTACCATGTCACCACTTTGAGTATATGTTCCACCAGATGAGGGAAACTGCATGTCTTTCTTTTTAATCACAGGGATTCATCCCAAAGGTTTAAACTGTCAGTGCAGAGTTCCTCTGTAAAGTCCTAAGGTATCTGAGGGAGAATGCTTGGTAGAAATAATCTGAATTTTGTTGTGTTCTAGCAGGTCATCTAATGCAGACTTAATTCATTTTATCAGGACTTGTCCACTTCCCAAAAATGAAAGCACCAGTCACACAGGCACAACTGGAAAGACAAGAGAATTTCTTTAAACTCACTCCTGGAAATTATATATTACACTGTTTTACCAGGTACACCATCGATGACAGGAACCTTGGTCGCCTACTCAATAGAATTACCACCAGATTCAACACAGAGCTCCAGTTATGGAAGGTTAGCCTGAGCTTTTATGTGACTTTCTCTTTGCCCTTAAACAAACAAGGCTGTGATTTTTTAATTGTAGCTAATAGGTATTATTTACTGACAATTTCAGGTTGACACCTTGTGTTTAGGGTTATTGTACATTTTTATGCCTTTTTATGGTTTTTTAGATGGAGCATTTCTTCAACCTAACTCCAAATGCTGGTGCTGGTGAGATGCCCAGGAAGCAGGCACTTGAGACAGTGAGGAACAATATCGAATGGATTAGGAGGAATGAAAATGAGATCAAGGAGTGGCTGGACAGTAACATTGCCTGATGGAAAACATCACAGGCGGACATTCATACTGTTGCTGTAAAGAACTAGAGCACCCACAACACTTTGTTGAAACTGGCACTTTGTAATGACACAATTCGGTGATTTGTCTTTGTTTTTAGCAGGGACCTATCCGAGGGTTCTTCTGATTTTCATCAGTAAAAACAACATGACGGTCTAAAAAAAACACCCAAATTCTGAGGTTCTGGCACTTGCTACCAGGATACCTGTATTGTATACACACTAAATTAACTTGGAAAAGAAATTGGAATCAATTTGCTTTCAGCAATTGACAAATATGATATTTCAATATGTAAATGAACATGCTCCCATATGAAACTGGCTTCTATCACTGTGAATATGCATTATTCTTTCCTAAAAAACCCACACACATTCTAAAATTTTGTTGAACCACCTTTAACTTTGATGGTGGCCTTTTAATAAACATATGCAATGTTTCACACACATGTATTACCATTGCCAAGAAGATTAAAATCCACTGGCTTATCTCCATCCAAGAGGAGAATAAAGGACTTAACATAAAGAGTTTATATGGTGAAAGTAATACAGAGTGCTATATCAGAGTATTTCTTTATGTGTATATCTGTAAATAGTTAATCATGTATAATTCTCATCGAACATAAATGAGTATAACAGCAGCTGTTAAGAAGATTTGGGGTTCTTTCTCTAGTTTCACACAAATGACTAAAGAGCAGCATCATCACTTTGGAGTTCACAGGTAGAAATTTCAGTGAAAAGCACCAGAGGATTAACCACTGCCCAATTTTTGTGGACGTACAAATTGGAATGATAATTTTTGGCTATTTCTCTGCTCATTTTTGCTGTGTTAGATTATAGGATCAAAGAAGTTGGAGGACTTTGTACCGAGACAGTGCTTCCCCTTTTGGACTTTATCAGGCATGGGATGGAAATCAGTGCATCTGTGTCCTGGGTGTATCTGTTCTCTTTTCTCTCATTCAGCTCAAGATTGGTATCAGAAATCAGCTCTAGTTTAGAATAGGTTAGTTAGATTAGGATGAAATTCATAACTGATTATTACCATTTGATAAAGCGTTGCCTTACCCTTGCAAAATTGCTATAAAAAAAAAAGCCCTGCATTCAAAAGTCTAAATTGAAGACATTCCCCTTTTGACTCTTTATGAAACAGTAAACAAGTAAGCATCATAGAGGAAGCAAAACTGTGTAAACTGTCACATTGATTAACGTATGAGATGAATAAATGCTTTTTAGTGGACGATTGTCAGTCGGCTTTTATAAAAGGAAGAAATGTACACAACCTTGATATGCTTGATTATCATCAACTAATAAAGACAGAAAGCTTAGTGTTGTTTTTGGACTTTTTAAAGGCGTCTGACATGGTTAAACATCCTTTTTTTGCTTAAAGCCTTATGTCACCTGGGTTTGGGGGTAAACTTTTGTAATGTCTTTCAATTCCACAAAACCCTGAAGGCCTGTGACAAGCACCACCCACAATACTAGCCCGACTTTAATAAATGGTTTGATAGGTACTTCTACATCCGCCACAGAGGAGAGAGCCGTGGTATAGGAGGAATCTTCTCTGATGACCTGGACTCCCCAAATCAGGAGGAGGTGTTCAGCTTCACTGAACCACAGCAGGGCACCTCACTGTGGTGCCCTGCTATCTGCCCTTTGTGTACAAACATCTCAATGACTCTTTTACTGATGAGGAGAAGGACTGGCAGCAGGTTGGACAAGGCCGGTATGTGGAGTTTAACCTGGTGTACGACAGGGGAGTGAAGTTTGGCCTGGCCACGCCCGGCTCAAGAATTGAGAGCATCCTCATGTACCTCCCACTCCCTGCAAAGTTGGAGTACATGCACGAGCCTGCCAAAGGCACCCGGAAGGTTGAGATGCTGGACGCATTATGAAACCCCAAAGACTGGGTGTGACCAGAGCACCCCCAGGTTTGGACGTCAGTATGGGCAAAAACGTCTATTTTATAAAGCTGGCCTGATCGACCAGCTCGGTAACATTTAATCCTGCTTTTATAACATGGAGCTGCACTGTAGTGTCTGAAGACCTTTTTCTATTTTAGGGAAGGCTGTAGCTCAGGCAGTAGAGCAGGTCATCTAATGATCGGAGCGTTGGTGGTTCGATTCCTGGCTTCCCCTAGTCTGCATACTGAATATCCTTGGGCAAGATACTAACCCCAAATTGCTCTCTGATGCATCCATCGGAGTATGAATGTGTGTGTACTAAGAAAATGTTGGTCTGAATGGGTGAATGCACAAGTTGTGTAAAGCGCTTTGAGCGCTCAGAAGAGTGGAAAAGCGCTATATAAGAACTAGTCCATTGCCATTTAATGTGATTGTTAAAAAGTCCTCCCATGCGCTACCTGCAGGCAAGTTATGGACTTGGATTGAATCGGACTAAGGTGCACCCTTTAGAACATACAGCAACACGCTGGCATGCCCTCAACCACCAGTATGGACAGCTGCATCAACTGGCACTCAAGCGCTACCTGTTATGTCAGGAGATACCAAGACCTTCAGAATGTTTGCGCTATGATGATGATTTGAGGTCCAGCTTCCGTCGATATATTCATCCTCAAACCATTCCCATTCCTACACTGACTGACTTCTCACACCGGCTTATATATAATAACCTGCAGGTGCAAGTCGACACGGCACGGTCCAGCTCAAAGAAAGCAGTATTTCCGAGAGGAGAAGAGGAAGTTCACTGGTAAGACAACCACAATACTGTTGAACACTGAGTCCCAAGAATCTGGTGCCCCTCCAACAGTGGCAGCAGCCAAACACAATGGGAAGAAGTGTCCTAATTGCAACAGCATTAACCACTCTTTAAACAGCTGCTCAAATTTCAGACAGCTACACAAAGCACAAAGACAGCACTGGATCAAGAGTAACAACCGGTGCTGGTGCTGTGGGAGGCCCCACCATGCTGCAGAATGCGGTCTAAAGATGCGCTGTAAGACATGCAACCAACGACATCTCCTTGTCCTCCACAAACTCAATGACAGGTCCGCTAAAAATGTGCAAGCCTCCGAGGCCTCTTCTGCAACAACAGACTCAGGTACTGCACGAGTGGGCGAGAAAGTGTTGTACATTGACACACCACTAGGAGGATGTAAAGTCCTATTGAAAATCAGCAAAGTTTTACTGAGGAATGGCGATCTAGTCCTAGAATCTTACGCTGTCTTGGATGATGGGTCTGAGCAGACCATCCTTCTTAGCACCGCTGCGCAGCAGTTAGGGTTAAAGGGGCAACCCAAAGAATTACCACTGAGAACCGTGAGACAAGACCTCCATTTTCTCCAAAGGGAGGCTGTCTCCTTCAGCATTTCTCCTACTTCCCAGCTGAGACAGATTTTCAAAATCAACCAAGTTTTCACAGCCGAGACGCTTGGGCTAGCAGAGCACACTCACCCAGTGAATGCCCTTAAGTAGCAATATCATCATCTCAGGGGTCTGGTGCTTCAAGAAATTGACAACGCTAAACCAGTGTTGCTAATAGGATCAGACCACCCGCATTTGGTCACCCCAGTGGAGCCAGTCCGACTCGGCCTCCCACCCAGGTGGGACTGCAGCTGTCAAGACACGCCTTGGCTGGACCCTACAAGGGCCGACTCAAGATGTAATGAAGCAGTTGAGAGAGCAACAGTGCTACTTCACCACCTGTCAATCCCCAGGTGTAGACCTGCTGCGAGATGTTGTAAGACTTTGGCAAATGGATGTGCTACCCTGGCGCAGTACCAAAGTCGGCACCAGGTCACGAAAAGACCAAGACGCTATTAAGCTTCTTGAGACTAAAACGGAGAGATTAGAGATCAGGGGAGTTTAACGGTATGCAACACCACTCCTATGAGTTCCTAACATGCCTACCCTGTCTGCGCCTAAGGAGGAGGTGCTCCCTCTGCTCTACAGTACAGAGCGGAGGTTGTTGAAGTCACCAGAGAAGGTCCTTTCCTACACAACTGAGATTCAGAGACTACAACAGGAAGGTTTTGTTGTCAAGCTTGAGCCTGGAGCTGACAACACTCCTGCTAGCTTGTATATCCCACACCACATGGTGCAGCATAACGGCAAGAATCGAGTTGTGTTCAATTGCTCATTCCAGTTCCATGTTCCATCAGGTCAGACTACTAAAAGAAGACCAGCCACTCCTCCGATTCCTCTGGCGAGATTGTGAACGTGACAACCCCCCTTCTGTCTACGAGTGGAGAGTACTCCCTTTCGGCACCACATGTAGCCCATGCTGTGCTATCTTTGCCCTACAAAAGCACATGCTAGATCACAGCAACCCAGGGGAGGACGTCTGTGAGACTGTGATGCAGTCATTCTATATCGACAACTGCCTCCGGACCTCGGCGACAGTGGTCGAAGCTAAAGTACTTGTGGACAAACTGCAGAAGCTTCTGGATGAGGGAGGTTTTGAGTTAAGACAATGGGCCAGTAACCAGCCCTCAATCATCAGCCACCTCCCCCCAGAGCTTCAATCAGACAGTGCTGAGCTCTGGATCACACATGGCAAACCTGATCAGAAAGAAGCTGTACTGGGACTCCATTGGCACTGCTCTTTAGACAGGCTGTACTACTAGCTCCGCCCTGTTGATCATGCTCAAGTGACCCTGCGCACAGTCTACAAGGTTTTAGCGAGTCAGTACGACCCACTTGGCTACATTGTCCACAAGAGCTAAGATCATTGTTCAGCAGATGTGGGCTTCACGGACTGACTGAGATGATACCAACCTTCCTCATGACCTTCTCCAGGCCTGGAATGAATGGGAGCAGGAACTGTCCCAGCTGCAAACCATTTCATTCGCTCATTGCTACACCAGCTCCAGCATTGATTCAAGCACCTGCCAATGTGACATCCACATATTCTGCGATGCCTCTGAATGGGCCTATGGATCAGTGGCTTACCTGAGGAGTGAGGATGCAAGTGGCACCGTGGAAGTTGTCTTCCGGACAGCACGTTCCAGAGTAGCACCCAGGAAGCAACAGACCATACCCCGCTTGGAATTAAGTGCAGCATTAACAGATGGCACAAGTGCTTACTACTGAACTAACAGCCTCGCTTCGCTATGTCGCTTTATGGACCGACTCTACCACGGTACTAACCTGGCTACAGTCAGACACCTGTCGATTTAAAGTCTTCGTCGGGACTCGGGTGGCGGAGATACAGGAGCTGACAGACTGGGCAGCCTGGAGATATGTTGACTCAGCCAACAACCTGGCTGATGACATTACACGGGGAAGACATCTGTCTGACTTAGGCGAGTGGAGCCACTGGTGCCGAGGTCCTCCATTCCCCCATGAGCCTCCAGATCAGTGGCCCGAGAAACCACACCTCCTACCCCTGAATGATGAGGAACTACAGAAGCGATTCACCTGTCTACACGTCATCACGCCATGCAGCCCACCTTTACCCGAAGCCGATCAATTTCAGACATTCAAGGACCTCCATAAGGCTACAGCACAAGTTTTGCGTGAGCCAGCAGATGCCCCTCTGACAGCGTAGGACTACCAAAGAGCAGAAACCAAGCTGCTGCAACAAGTGCAGCAAGAGGGTTTCCCCTCTGAGTCGGTCCACTTACAAGAGGGCAAGCAACTCCCAAGATCCAGCCGTCGCTCTGGCTCCCGAGTTGGATACAAAT